AAGATCGTAAAAAAAAGATGCATCAATTTTAGCAAAGAAAAATTTCTTTTGATATTTGATCAAAAGTCATATGATTCGTTACTATTTTGTGGAACTCAAGTACATTTTCGAGGGAAATATACATGAATGGGAGTTTAAATTGAAGTTTTTTCGACTCTTCCGATAAATTTTAAGAATAATGTTTTGATTTCTCAGAACTGTCAGATGACTAACACAAAACTATGTATTGATTAAATCTTAGCTTCGGAAGGAATAATCAATTTTGATTTTTCTGAGTTCATTGAGACCCATCTCAGAGATTATTAAGATCTGCTGTCGATATAACGAATGTATATAACAGGCTTAATTATCAATTAAATCAATACTTAGACTATTAATAATAAATTATGAAAAGTAAATATCATGTAAATAGAAAAAAGGCGAGTGAATAAATGAATAGCATTTGCTGACCATTGATTATTATTGAAAAAGAAGTATAGTCTTTTAGAAGTTTTACACTTTGTATGTATTTTATTAGCATAATGAAACTAAATAAGACATATTAGTACCATATTGCAGACACAAATGATTTGCGCTAACAATTTTTTTTATGCTGATTTCGAATATTTTATATGGTCTTTTATACCAAGCAAAAAGTAAAGATTGAATTGAATAAATATGTACATATTTTCTTTACGATTTTAACTTATAAATAGATGACAGAGTCATGCCGGTTAACCCTTCCATATCCAAGTCATTCATTTATTTTCTTAAATTCTGTGATCTTTGCATCATTTGTCAAGAACTATTTGTTTAAATTTTTTGAATGTTGTTTCCAATAACAAATACTCTATATAATTAAGTAAATTTATTGGCAAATTACAAAAAAGAAAAATCAATGTTGATTATATTTTACTACAATATTCAAATCATTAAATCGAAAACAAACAAATGATCACAACACAGATGACTATCGATATATTTTACTATTCTAATCATCATTTTCTTTCTATATATTTAATGCTTACAAATAATAAATACACGTGTTAAATAAAAAGAATGAAATAAACACAAGAACAAATCATTTTATATCGATATTTGTGTTTTTCTATATATGAAAACTCTTTTATTTAAAATTCTAGATGGACTCTAGTCCTCAAAAAGCATTTATTATTGTTAATGATCTTGAACAACGTCTTAAAAATCTTTATACAACATGCGTACATGATGAACAGACATTAAATGATCTTGAATCACTTCTTAATGAATGTTCAAATCAATTGAATTATCTTATTTGTTCATCAAATTCAACATTAATTGCTATTATTCTTCCAACACTTCTTCATACAATAATATCATTATCGAAAAATTGTGCAGAAAAATCAGATATAATTATATTAGGATCATATTTATCACGAGATAAACTTACATCATTAATAACTATAACGAAAACATTACATAATCAAATAAAAGAATTTGTTAAATCACCTAAACTTAATATTATTTTAATGAAATCAACACAACAAAGACATTTTTGTGAACAATTACGTCTTGTCTCAGATTCAATAGCTAATATAGATATTCTTACAACATTAATTTGTCATAAACTTATTGTTAAATTATTAACAGGTAGTGATGAACAACAACAACAATTATCATATAATAAAATTGAAGATATTAATGATGGTTTAATAGTTTCTGTCTATAAAAGTTTATTACGACAGATGGCTACTATTTGTTCAAGAAATTTACGAGATAAATCAGATAATAATCGTGAATCACCAACTATTAAAGTAAATATTTTTTTGTATTCTTTTACAATAAAACTTATTCTCTAGATGTTAAACAAAATTTCGTCAATCAAAATAAAAGTTATTATTATAGATTAACTTAGTTATCTTTTATTTATTTGTCTAAATAGTAATAGTACTTCATTAACATAGCAATTAGAATATTTGTTATATTATCATTTCAATAGTGTACACTTTATTGACATACTATTTGCATATTTATTAGTGCAGAACTAATTTCTTACACTTGAAAATTCACATAGTACATGATAATCGAATATAAATTAGCTTTTGTTTGATTTAAAGAAAGAGGAAATGTTTACCAGGAAAACATATCTCAATAAATCCGACACTTAAAAAGGTAACTATAAAGTTTTGCCTCAAAAACAGGAGATCTATGTAGACTTTTAAATCACGATTTCCTCTATTCAATATTCCATACATTATCGAATTTTATGTGTATAATGTATTCCCTTATGAACTATAAATGCACTCAAAAAATGTTCGGACATTTACCTTTTTACTGTGCATTTTTGCTAAATGTTCTAACCTAATACCCTTACTATCACTTAGAAAAACTGATTTTCAAATGTCGACTTCAGAAACAAACTCTATGAGTTTCCGATCTTTTGATTTATATTTCAAATAAACTTCAATTATGATAGTCAATAGTGACTATAACTAATCTATTGATTATAGAGTGTATAGATTGATCTTAAAATCCTAAAAGTTATATTAAACAATAACAAATCTCTTGTCTGAAAAATAATTTTCTTTTTTTTTTTTTAATGTTTAATTTTCAAGAACGATTATTGTTGTTGTTTTTAATGATTTTTGCTAGATGTATGGAATTTATTTTCAAATGTTACATAAATTAATTCAATACAATGGTACAATATCTCAAATTGAAAATTATCAAGAATTTATTCATACAATACATCAAATACATATATGTCTTGAATCAACATGTCAACAAAATCGTTTTCAATTAGAATTTTTTAATAATACAATATTATTACAAGAAATTCTACAAGATTTTATATTTTATTCATTAAAAACTTCATCAAAATTATTTTTTGATGAATTATTTAATGAATTATCCACAAATAAATATAAATATGCATCATTAATTTTACTTTTTCGTATTATTGAAGCATTTGATATTTGTTTAACTAAACAATCTAATGATGATCTAACACTAAATCTTATAAATTCTTTAATAACTCATCTATTTAATTTAATTGATGAATGTCATATACAACTTATATTACCAGCACTTCTTCCTATAACATTTAGTAAAACACAAATTGAATATGGTAGTCTTTATGATATAACATATTCAATAATAATGAGAATTTCAAAACATAAATCAATGCAAATTATTCTTTCAGTAATGACGAAAATTTTACAAATATCAAATGAAAATTCTTCAATTATGTTAACATCAATACAATTATCAAGTGAATTAATTATACAATCATGGTATTTATATAATCAATTAATTGAATATCAATATTTATTTGGTTTATTTCTTTCTGAATTATTTCGACTTAATATACATATAAATTTAATAAATTATTTATTAACAATGCCAAATATACGTACAATGAAATATTATACATATGATATATATATATCATCAAATACATATAATTCTATATATGATTTTTATTTACTTATTAAAAATAATTCATTAAAAGAACCATTTATTAATTCAACAAATATATCATTTATTTATCCAACAAATATTGAACATCTTTATATATTTATACGTTTATTTAATACAGAATTAAATTTAAATCAAATACAATATACAATTGATACATGTATTTATTCTATACAACAATTTCTTTCATTACCTTTTATAACAGAATTAACATCAATGAATTTTATATTAATTTTACGTATATTATCATATATAAATATAAATAATTTAAATGAAAATTTTAAATGTTTACTTGGTCAATTAACACAAATATTTATTTTACTTGATGAACAAACAGCTATGGATATTCGATTAGAATTATTAAATGTTTTTACAATACATTCAAATATACTTGATGATAATGATCTTGGAAGATTATTAGATTTTATGTTAACAAATTCAATTGAATCAAATTCAAATTCACTTGCATTTCATATTGGTTGTTTAAATGTTGTAGATTCATTAAAACAACGATCATCACGTAGTGCTAATATAACTGATCTTATTATACAATTAATTGTTCGATATGGAAATGAACATCAATGTAGTCATTTACTTAAAGCTCATCTTATGGTTAGTTAATATATATATACAAAGTGATACAGAAATAAGAGAATGCAAATTATTTTTCGATTCCTTCTCAAAGTACACAAATAAATCTCGCTATTCGAATATGAATGTTTAGAGAAACTCAATGTTTTTCGAATGTCATGATTTCACTATGAAAATCGAATAGAGCTCGAATATATATCATACTTCGTTTAAAAGTACAGATATGAGTAGTTTCGATATATTTGTACATTAATAAGAGATTTCATGGACTATGTACAAAGAAGTAATCGAAAAAATTCTAAGTTCTTTCTATTTTTAGGGTTACTCTGTATATTTCTTTTTATCGAGATTGTAATATATTATATATTAGAATGTATTAAAAAAAAATTCATCAGGGAAATATACAGACAACATATTAGAATAGTAATAGAAGGAATATTACTTTGAGCAAATGACTTATAATCATGCCTTGACTTGTCACATTAAAATCTATCTAGAGATGAATAGAGTGAAGATGAGAAGTCACAAGCTTCTTCTATAAATTCCATTTAGCATCTATAAATAACTATTTGTGAATGAACAATCAAATTAATGAAAATATGTATGTCTATTTACGATTCATGATCTTCAAAAGAAAAAAAAAATTTGATACATAAAATTTAGAGAATATCTCGATGATTGAGAACGTTAGATAATCTAAAAACATATATATCTAATTATCAATAAAAATTGCATCCGGTTTCTTTCGGATGTAGTTGCGGCAAAATCACAAGCTCGTATTAAAAAGATTTATGATCCAGTCTATGATAGATGCCCTGTCATCCATTGTCTTGATTGTTCATTCGAATGATTATACTATATGCTGCTTTAGAAAGACATTTTTCCTAACTTCTTTTTTGAAATTATATTATAAAATAATGAAACTTAAAAGTTATTTTTCTTTTTCGATGTTTTTTTTTTTTTAGCAAATTTTCATGTCATATATAACCAATGGTAATGATGATTCATTACCTAAGCGAGTGAAATCTCAATGTCTACTCTTACGTGCTGATATTGATGAATTTGAAAAGAATAAGAAAACAATAGGAACAACAAATAATCGTTTTTCAAATGAAAATACACTCAAAATATTCGATTCTGTACGATCATCAATGATTAAAACAACAAGAAAAGATTTAATAACAAATGAACATAATGTTCAATTAAAATTTTATCAAACGATTGTTAATGAACTTGAATTTCATAAATGTTCAATATCAATACAAAATCCTAATGCAATGCAACAAGACTAAATCTTAAAATGATTATTCTATTTCATAATTTGTCTTTTCTTGTCTTTTTTTTTTTATCTATACATAAAAGGTTCAACATCATTTTAACTATATGTATCTGTATATTTTTCTTTATAGAGAGCGAGAGAGAAAAAAAAAACTTGACCCATTTTTTTTTCTGGTATCTCAATATTTGCATTGCGTGTCAAAAATACTTTAAAACTATTATCTTCTTTTCTTTTTTTTTTTTACTTAAGTAAAAGTCAACATTAATCATTAGTATGACAGATCATATACATATTAATTTTATTTTTGATCTTTAAAGATAAAGAACAAAGTTCATTGTTATTGTAGTCTTCACTAGTTGAACAACACGAGAAATAAAGAGAAAACATAGATAGACAAGAAGAAGAAGAAAAAAAATAACGTTCTTCTCGATAAAATAACGTTATTTGCAGCCATTAAGATGGTTGTTTGCGAATGTGCGACACAAATAACATGTACTTCAATAGAACATACGCGGTAAGTGGAAAGAAACGACAAACCATAGCAGGAACGCACTAATACTACGACTGATTCAATCAAAACCATTAGCTCTTCCTTTCTTTTTTTTCTCCTTTTTTTGACATCATTCCCATTTCTTCGATAGTGTGGTGTCCTATTTGTGATCATTCTTAATTGCGCTTTTCTTATGCTCGTCTACAATGCTGGCATCTGCCATCAAATATATATATATATATAAATACATATTCAAGAAGAGGGCATAATCTACATAGTCATTGAACACTCAACATTCCGTTAAACAACATTTGTTGTCCTACAATAAATACTATTGTTTCAAATCATTGAATCAAACAACAACAAAAAAAACGAAAACCAAAATGGCAAATGGATATTGTACAAATGAATTATGTATCAAAAGAGAAACACAATTACGTTTAGCTCTACTTCGTGAAGAATTATTGACTAATTTCAATACACTTCTAATTGATCGTATTCGTTTTCTTGAACAAACAATTAATCGATTATCACTTATATCACCATCGACACCGGCAAGTTCATTACCAACATTAACAGATACATGTATGTCTCTAAAACCTATAGAAATCGATCGACTTACACCACCATCATTACTTCGACGTAGTTCATCAGCAGGAGCTTCATTTCTTCAAAGTCCTATTGACCCAAATTTAATGGAATCAGGAGCCGGTGCTCGTTCATGTCCATCGAGTGTAGATTTATCAAGTCAAAATGAATCACGAAAACGATTTTTATCAATAGAAAAACCTCCTCGTACACAAGATAGAACATCATTTGAATATAATACAACTAGTTTATCTATACCTATATATCGACATTGGGCAAGTTCAGCAGATGATCTTCAATCAAGTGCTATGGCTAATAGTGAAAAAGGTCGTTTAGAATCAAGACGTTTTGCATGTGATGTTGATGATAATGATGTACGAGCATTCAAAGCAATGATTTATATGGAACAAGCCCGGAAACAACATACACGACCATTAACTCGTTTACGACAAGCATTGGGTATATCAAGTAATAGTACTCTAGGGAGTTCGACATCAAACAGTTCAAAGAAACAAACAAATTTCTAAACTTTCGATCTGTATTTATTTTGTGGTCATTGTAAATTTATTTTTGATGTTTTTTTTTTTTTTTCTACGAAGTAAATTATGTCATATTTATTGAAAAGATTTATGTATAAATATATAAAATAATTCAATCTATACTAATACTAATCTTGTTTATTATCTTAAATCTTGAGAAAATTGAATATTCTGTTCAGATAATTTGCTTAAGTATTTAATCTGAAGTATTAATTTCTTTTTTGTTTTTCAGTAAACTCTTAATAATGTAGTCTGATATAAAATATTGTTGTACAATTTATCACATACAATACTATCTTGTGTCGGTATGCAAAAATGAAATATATAAAATTTGATATGATTTTTTTTTTGCTCTATCAAGACAAAAAACTTATGAAGAAACTTGAACATGAATGGTATCTATTATTAATTAGCATAGCGATGAATAAAAGAAACAAAAAACAAATGAATCTATTATTTATGATTTTAATGGATGTTTTTTTTCTTCTGTATACATGAGTTTCTTATATTCAAATAAGAAATGAACGATCATTATTTGTATTATTGAAGAAAGTGTAACACAATATTTAATAACCAGTTGATCAAATAGTTGTTTTGATCATGAATCTAACAAACAGTTGAATCAATTTCGCTATCTAAAGTTATTGAAAATTAATTAATTAGTATGCTGTCAAGTTTTATATGATCCACACTTTGTTAGCAGATTTTTCATTCAATTATCGACTTGATTTATGATTTCGAAATAATGAATTCTGTGAACAGAGCTGCCAACTCTAGAGAACTCGAATGGGGTATACCTCTGATGCTTATAATTATGTGAAAAATCAAGTGTACACTATCAGAAATACAGTTACAAAAACATATTTTATTATTGAGACAAATAAGTTCATCATACTGCTATTTAGCTAGTAATTCTATTCAGAAAGCAATCAACAATCTCAAATCTTTTTATATGATCGTATTAATTTATAAAATTCTGTACATTGAGATTTTTATTTAATGAAATTTTCAATGCAATCACAACTGTATCATTTATAATAGAATATAGACTTGGTGTCTGGGCATATATCATATGACTGAATACGTTTTCTGAAAATGCATTTAATTAAGGTATTAAATAAAAGTGTGTCTGAAAAATGAATGCTCGTACAAACTAAAGATTTTTTAAACAATAATCGAGAACTAGATGTACTTTTTAGTGTGAGTTTGAATAGTCAGAAAAATAACACTAGTTTAAATAAGTCTAAATCGGGCACAGTTGACAGTTTTATCTATTCGATAATTTAGATATCAAAAAATTCTAAATTTAGTTGACCATTGAATAGGACACTTTCTTCTAGGAATAAGTTTCTGTAAACATTTGTTGTGAGACGGAAAACATTTTGCTTGTGTTGTTCCCTACAATTTTCATCAAAATGATTTGGAGCAGAATGACAAGAATGTGTCGACATTCATAATACTCAAATGATAATTACGTTTCCTCTTCAGTTCTCGGTTATAATATATAAAAGTATTTTGAATTTATTTGATTTAATCATTAACGTAAGATTTCATATAGATATCGTTGATGAAATGTACATCTACTAACAAGTGTAAGATGGAAATGTCTTTTAATTCTTTAGAAAATATATAAAAATATTAATTTCAAAGTATACTATGGATAATTTTGAAATGAACATGTTGAGATAGCACGATCGAATTTTCGACATTGTATAAGCAAAATCAAGTGCCATATTGATGATCAGAAACTAAAAAAAAAAATTCGGATGTATCTTCGAAGCAGTGAACTCTTGTTTTTGATACTAGTGCAAGTGAAAGAGTCGTTGACTCGCAGGCTTTTTATCATGCTAGTCATCATAATAATATCTGTTATGATCTTCATAGATTTTGAACTCTCTCACACATCTAAATACCCTGCTGTCAATAGTTTTGAAACTTTCTTTCCGCTACGAATGAATTATTTGTCATACTAGAGTATAAGAAAATTCCATGTGTAATCTCTACATCTAAATAATGTACAAAAAGAAATGATTATTTCTTTAATAAGCGTATACTGATAAAAAGTAGAGCATTTTACGAATGAGACATTCAATAGGTCATTATGCTCATAGAATTGGAAACTAAATGTTTTTGAGAAAAGTAAAATTGAGTACGATAGTATCGATGTCACTAGAAACTCTAGCAACGAAGTAAGAGACACATCATGAAAAAGAATTAGAAAGTTTCAAGTAAATACATATAAATACAGTCCTTTTCAAAGTTTTTGGAGTATTTCAAGTTTCTATATTATAATTTAAAAATTTAATAGCTGCAAAGGGAGGTTGAGTAGACACTCAAGGACAATAGAAGTCTCTGAACACTAAAAAACCTATTTTTCTAATGACTAATTTGATCGAAAATCTATGAGGCGACATTTCTTTTTTACATATGTTCTTTTCATCAGTAAGAATTCTTGCTGAAAAAAGCACCTTTCCACTGGTTCCAATGCTTAAGGGTTAGTCGTCAAATGCAAGGTCCGACAGATCTGAATACTTATCGACATGTAGAGAAGGAGTCTGTGGTTGAAGCAATTAGTAAAAACTGAAAATCTATCGTAGCTTCCTTGCTAAACATTATAGTTTTTCAATAGTACACACGGAAATTCTTTGCAGATCTATTTGAAAATATTTGGTTTCTACTTATAAATATGATTTCTGTTCTTGACTATACAATGTCGATGACATAATCTTGCTATCTCATTTCATTCTCTAGTTCTTTAATTGGTAATCACTGGTAGTATGTTATGAAACCGATTGTGTTACTTTTTCTATATTCCTATGAATTGCTTTTACTGTCTTAATACTTTTGGCTACATGCCTCTGACTTTGAGTGGATCTTTTAGCATTGATATATTGATTCTGTTCAATGAATCATAATGGCTTGTCAATGTATGCATCAATCGATGAATTAAAATGAAGCAATGACTATAAACAACTAACAACGATGTGTATGTGTCTATCTCATACGTAAAAGATTTATCGTTATTTGTTTCACTGAAAAATGCTTGACTTTGATTTCATCTATTCTTCAATAGAATGACAATTATTTCTAACTACTCATTTGGAGTGTCAACAATCATTAGACACTATTTGCCTAACGAAGTGCAGAGACGAGAATATTTAGCACAGTTAGAGAACAAGATCGACTGATTGTATGCAATCTTCTTGTTGAACAAGTAAATGACGCAAATTAATTATAAAATAATTCAAAATTACTATACATTATATATGAGACCTGTTTAAAAAGCCTATCAAGGCTTGCCAAGGTCTACAACTGTCCTACACTGTTAATAAAGGTGGAAATATTTCCTCACACCAACAGCCAAATAAATTCTTCTAACACTCATATCTGAGGTAT